GGTTTGCATTGGCACACTTATAACTGTTCATCTTATAACCTATTGCATCTTGTTTACATTGTCCACTAGTTTGTTTCACCCTTATGATAGTTTAAATATATCCTTGCATATACCATATAGTATATTTTATTGCTAGGATATATCACCTTAGTTATATTGCTTATTATTGCTCATATCACATTGTATATCTATCTTGCAAGAATAATTTGTTAGTTAGTTTTAATTAGCATAAAATCAGATTAGATTAGCATAAACCCTATTCACCGCCTCTAGGGTTCTTTCATAGCGACCTTAAGGTCTGACAATTGGTATCAGAACTTGGTGCTCTTTGATTTAAGGTCTAATCGCCTTGAGTTAAAGATCCAAGTTATATTTGTGATAATCTTTTGTGTTTTTATTTGTATCTTGCTTGCACATATATACATTATGAATATGCACGGTGCACCTAGTTTAGGTTATGCCATTAATGTTGCTCCTCGTTTGGATAGTTTCCCCTATGCCCAATAGTGTGTTAGATTTAAACTTTTTGTTTGATCTAGACACTTCGATTTATGGGAAATTATAGATGATGCTTATATTATGCCCACTTCGGAGAAATCCAAGTAGAATAAAAATGATCATCGAATGTTTACAATGAATAAGCTTTTGTTAGAATTCATGCTTAATGCTTTTGACTCATCTTTTTCTAACAAACTTGTTCATTTTGATAGTGCTTATAAACTTTGAAAACTTATTGAAGCACATCAAGGAGACTTGGAGGAGATTCGACGCGTTAAGGCAGAATCGACCACAAGTAATAGTGGAGCATCATGCACACGGCCACAAGAGGATAACTCTTATGTAGTAAGCGACTCTGACTCCGATAATGAGCTATCTATTGATGAACTCGCTTGTGCATATGATAGATTAATGCATGCCCACACCAAGTTGCAAAATAATTTTATTAATTTGAAAAGCAAGCATGTAGATTTGAAATCCGATCATGACAAGCTAGTGTCCAAATTTGATGTCATTGTAAAAGAAAATACTATGCTTAAAGAAAACAATGACTTATTAAATTTGGAAAATAAAAAATTAACCTCATCCATGTCTAGCTTATGTCATGCTAAAGATAATGCCATATTAGAAGTAGAAAGCTTTAGAAATAAAATTGATAATCATACATGTTCTACTTCTAGTTCAAATGCATATGTGCCTAATAATGAAGATTTGAATCTTGTGAATAAACGCATTTCATCCTTAGATTCAACTTTAAAAACATGCATTGTTAATCGTGATAAGCTTATGGACATGTGTGCTAAGTCTCATACTACTACACCTAAACACATTACACATCATGCACACATGTATAGTAAAATTCACAAGTGTTCCATTTGCGGTCGAAAAGGCCATTTAGCCAAATTTTGCTATGATGCACACATAATTAAGAATGCCAATGCTCCTTGTGCATCTCATGTAGCTTCATCATTATATACACATTCACATTCACATGCTCATACTCATCATAATCATCATAAGCATGCTAATGTGTATAAATGTGTTCTTTGTGGTCGTTTTGGTCATTTGGCTGAATATTGTTTTGATTTAAAAAGAAAATCTAGTTTACCAAATATTTCTAGTAGACCACATGTTTTTAAATGTGATGTTTGTAGTAGATTTGACCATTTGGTAAAGTTTTGCTATGATTTGAAAAAATGTTCAAACTTGCCAAATTTCTCAAGTAAACCACCTTTGTTTGATGATGTTTCTCATTTGCAAAATAATTTAAAAGAAAAATATTTATTTGCAAATGATTCTTGTGCCCGCTCACTTGGTCAATACAAATCATTTAACCCTCTTCATTGCACCTACTGCAATTGGAAAGGTCATGTGTATAATTTTTATTTTGACCGTGCTAGTGCACCATATGCACCCAAACAGATTCATAACCCTAGGGTTTTGAGCTTGAATGATAGGGGTAATGTCCCTAACCAACCCGGCACCAAAAATTCTTGGGTGCCAAAATGATTTTTAAACCAAGAATTTTAGTGTTTTTATTTTTCCTTTTCTTGGTTTTGTAAAATGAGCTTTGAAAAATTTTTATATGAAAACAAACTTTCTTTGATCAAATTCTTTTGTTTTCATGACTATGAGTTTATATTTTCATGAGAGGTTTATGTTTATGTAACCCTCCGGATTTATTGGGTGTTTATTCCCAAATCATGTTTACCGGATGCTAGAATGATTATATGGGTTGGAATAAGATTAAGAGCTTGATATATTGTTACCTCTCTTGAAATTCTTTTATCAAAGATTTTGTTTTGATTTGTTGCTTTGAATTCATTATATTTCACTTATATGATGATATTTATATGTTTGTGCTCATGGATCATCTATTCGTGCCTTATAATGTATTCTATGAGTGGTTTGATCAAGTTATACAAAGAAAATTTTCTTCTTTGATCAAACATTGTTTTTGGACTCAAATCTTGATTTATGACTTCATTTGAGTGATTTGTTTTCACTTGAAAACTTTTTTCATGGTTCTCATGTTTTCCTCATTCCTTTGTCTTCATAAATCTATTTTTATACACTATGTTTTTATAATTGTGTAATAAGACCCTTCTTTCATAAATGACATATCAATATATGTTCTTATTGTCTTGTTTGTATGTGAGTTATGTTTAGCATATCTTTCATTTATGCTTACACTACTACAAAAGGGTTTATTAGCAACACCATTTTAGTTAAGTGTTTATAATAGAACCTAATTTAAGTGGGTCTAATAGTACCTTTCTATTTGAAACGGGCCCATGTAAAAACTTAATTAATTTAATTAAAAAATAATGTATTTCTTTAAAATAAATAGGAAAGGATCTCGAAGAGTCTGGTTAATGGAGATATTTTCGGCGGGGGTTAATAGAGCTCACGCGAAAATATTGTTCAGCGCCTCTAAATTCATCAAAAAAAAAAATCTTTTCCCTCCGATTATTCATGGAAATTTTTTCCCTCCGATTATTCATGGAAATTTTTTCCCTCCAATCTCTATCGACCCGCTTCAAGAAATTAGAAATAGAGGGAAACCCTTCGACATCTTCTCTGCTCCCACTCGATCGTTCAGGTAGAACCGCCGGCCGCCTCTTCTAAATCGCTCAGGTAGAACCGTCGGTTCAAGAAATTAGATCTGTTTTTTATTTTTTTTCGTGCTTGTTGGTTAACATAAACGATTTTGAACTGCTATTTGGGAATTTTTTTGATCTTGTTTAAAGATTGAATTTTGGACTTGGATCTTCAAGGAGTTGGTTATTCTTGATGGGTTTGTAAAAATTGGACATTTTTTCATATTAATTGTTGTAATTCTATGTTCTTTTTATTTGGTCTTTCAAATTAATAATCCTTAAAATTGTGGATACTAGAGCTTTTATTGCCAAATATCAGTAATTCTCTAATTTCATGTTGATTAATTTGAGAATTAATATGTGCCAAGTGAAAATTTCCAAGAAAACGCATACAATTTGATTATATCTTTAGGACCATCAAAATATAAATTTTTTGTCATGGTTTTATTTTGGTAGCTAATTTAAATTTTCCTTATCAATTTCTATTTTTATTTACCTTTTTTTTACAGAGGGATCCTAATTTTCTAACTCGAAAATTCTTGATCGTGTTCTAAAGGACGTGCTTCTCATTGCCTACTACAATTCTTTTACAGGTAAGATTATATATTTGATTTTTTCTTTATGATTTTTAAATTATTTCTTTACAGAGCATGTTGTGATTCCTGCAAGTAATTTGTTGAAGAACATATATACTACATGGTCAATTATTAACTGAATATTTTTTCGGAAAGAACATAAACTGAGACTGTTATCAGGGGTATTTTTTTGAAATTTTATTTATCAGAACTTCAATGTTTACTTCATTGGTGACGCATATACCCTACAAATGTATTCTTCTCTCTTTATTCATACAACATTAAAATCATAACAGTACTATTTTTTAAACAGCTCCTAGTAAAAGCCATAAACTTATATTTACCGTATATTCATCTTGTTCTAGGCCCTGCACAGACTCAAAAATCATATTTTCAGTTATCTAATTAAAATTTTCGGAAACAGACAGAAACTCGAGACTGTCATCAGGGCCATCTTTACTGAAACTTTATGTGTTGAAGACTTCTATACCTACTTCTTCGCTGCATATATTCTATCTTTGTTCCTACATCATTATTGCCCATAGTTGTATTTAGCTAGCATGAGAGAGTTGGCGATGATTTGATCCACAATTAGTCTTCTGTATTCTGTGTTGGACTTGTAGATGCAAGTTTTAAGGGATGCACAACCCTTTTCACTTGTTGCGAGTTGAAGGCAAAAGTGGGTAGCAGTTTCAAATAAGGTCTATGTGCATGAGAAAAGTTTATGTCAGTATGTTACATAAAACTAAGTCATTTAAAAATATGGGATATAAATGTATTTGTCTACTTTATTCAATATTTATTGGCAGAAAACCCTATCCCATCTATGTACGTACTTGTAAGTATTCTTGTACAAATATATGTTTGATTCATGCAAATCTAAACAAATAATCTATTTTGTGATTTATTCAGATATCTATTTGATTGTGAATGGGGTTCGTATAAATTACATAGGCTTGTCTTCATTACTTATTTAATCATTTAGTATAAGAAGTTTATTATTTCTTCAAACTCTTGCTCCATTTCAAAATTCCATGCGTTGTGAATAAATTATATATAACCCATTATATTTGTCCCCTATTGGGCTTCTCAAAATAGTTGAATAAACTATGCATGAAATTATTATAGAGGGAAAAGAAAAACAAAATCATGAATCAATCCATCATACATGGTCAATTTAAGAGACTCCACTTTATATATTTATATTCCAGTAGGCCATTCACACATTTTCCATGACTATTATATGCCATTTTACCCATAATTATTTCCTATCGAAATTAATATAATGAATTTTATATGTCAATTACTCTATTAGATACCTTGAGAGATGGAACACGATTACATTGCCGACAGGAGTTGGATGTATAAGGAGGAAAATGAACGCTTTGAAGAATTTTTTATAGCCGGAGTCGATTGTTTCATTGAGTTTGCACTTCAGCATTCAGTAGAAGGCCGGTCCAATGTATGTTGTCCATGCAAAAAATGTCAAAACCATTGTAGCTATGATACGAAAACCATTAAAATGCATATAGTCAAGAATGGTTTTGTACATGGCTACACTAAATGGTACTTTCATGGTGAAAATCGAAAGAGGCTTCGGGAGGAAACAATTAATATGCTTCCATCAAGAGATGACATAGCAGGGATGCTAGCATCAATTTGTCCATCGTCTCCGGCTTATGAAAATGACGCGACTTCAGATTCATCAAATAGAACAGGAAGAGATAGGAATGCAAGAAACTTTGAAAATTTGATCGAGGATGCAAAGAAACCACTTTATCCAAATTGTCAAAAGTACTCAAAATTATCTTTTATTGTTCGTTTGTTTCAAATTAAATGTTTGAATAAATGGAGCAATAAGTCACTCTCCAGTCTTCTTGAGCTGCTTAAAGATCTTTTACCTGAAGACAATCTCGTGCCAAAGACATGGTATGAAGCAAAGAAGGTGATGGATGAAATGGGCTTAAAGTGCAACAAGATACATGCATGTTGTAACGATTGTGTGCTATTTAGAGGGGAATATGAAAACTTGAATTCATGTCCCGTGTGCAAAGAATCAAGATGGAAGCAAAGAAGAGAAGATTCTCGAGGTAAAAATGTTCCTATTAAGATCCTTCGTCACTTTCCGTTGATTCCAAGGTTGCAGAGGTTATATATGTCCAAAAAAACAGCTGTAGACATGACCTGGCATCACAACGCTCCTAGGGAAGACGGAAAAATGAGTCATCCTAGAGACTCTGAAGCTTGGAGAGATTTTGATGCAAAACATCCTTCATTTGGCATGGAACCTCGTAATGTAAGGCTTGGTCTTGCTAGTGATGGGTTTAGTCCTTTTAAACTAATGACAGGCAGCAACCGAAGCACATGGCCTGTGATTTTGATTGCATACAACCTTCCACCATGGTTTGCTATGAAGCAATCTTTCTTCATGTTGTCCCTTTTAATAGACGGTCCAAAGTCACCTGGTAATGATATCGATGTCTACTTACAACCCTTGATTGATGAGCTCAACACTTTATGGGAAGATGGTATCGATACATATGATGCGGCAAATGATGAAACCTTCAAGTTAAGAGCTGCCATTTTGTGGACAATCAATGACTTCCCTGCATATGGTATGTTATCAGGTTGGAGCACTAAAGGGTATACTGCATGCCCTATTTGTCATACTAACCATGGTTCCATATACTTACCTTGTAGCAGAAAATGTGTGTATTTAAGACATCGCCGCTTTCTATCGACCAATCACACATGGAGAAATGATAGGAAAAGTTTCAATGGTGAAGTGGAGAAAGATACTGCTCCTATTTCATTATCGGGACATGATGTATTAAATCAGTGGCAAAATTACAATAATGTGGCATTTGGAAAAAAAATTTTTGAAAAGCAACCAACACCAAAAGGTTGGAAAAAGAAGAGTATTTTCTTTGAACTACCATATTGGAAAACATTATTGGTGCGTCACAACCTAGATGTTATGCACGTTGAGAAAAATGTTTACGATAACATATTGAGTACTCTATTATGTCGAGATGGAAAAACAAAAGACAATCTTAATGCTGTACTCTTACAGTGCAGTCGGCAGTGAGATCTTGGAAAGCAAAATTAAAGAAAAAGTATTACAACGAATAGAAAGCTGCATCTCCTCAGCAACGTGATCAGATTAACTTTGAGAGGATCACTCATAATGAGTGGGAAGACTTTGTGAACTATATAGACAATCCCAACAAAGAGGTAAGTTTTAAATTTAGAAATGTATATCAATTAGTTTATTTTTTATTCAGGTTTCTTGTTGTAAATCAAAAAAGGTTCAATTAAAATTTGCTCATAATATATTATAACGAATACGTGTAGAGAAAACAATTTGTTTTATTATTTTCTGTCATTTCTTATTGCAGGATGAAGCTGTTAGAAATTTACAAAATGTTTCAAAAAAGAAACTTCGGCATTGTTTGGGACAAAAGTCTATGGCTCGAACTAAGCATAAATTGGTAATTAGCAAAAATATGAATTAAATATTTTGTCAAGATGCACATATCTAGTTATTAATATTTAATTAGCCTATTCATGTTTCCTTTTTCTGCTTTACAGAGAGAGTTGGATCCAGAAAATTTTGATGAGTTTGTTATATTTATTAAGTCCCACAAAACAAAGATGGGTAAGTTTTGTTTTTGATTTTATTTTAACTTAATTATATACGATATATGTTGTATGTTATGAATGTAATCATGTATAGGAGAAGGTTATTAAAAGGATTGAGGAGCTTAGAGTTCAACTTCATGATGCAGATCCATTAACAAAAGCTCATCAACTGAAACTATCAATTGTTCTTGATGAGGTAGCGGGAAAGCACCATGGGGGATATGAAAGAGGACATGGTACTGGATACAAAGGAAGGATAATGATTCACCAATTTTCTACATCCTATAACAACGAGAGTAGTATAAACAACTCTCAACTTCAAGAAGAGCTAGATGTTGCTAACCAGAAAATCCAAGAGTTATATGCTGCTAATAAGAAAATTCAAGAGTTACACGAGGAGATACAGAAAAGAGCTGAGGAAGCGGAAAGAGAAAAGGCACGGGAAAAAGAAGAAAGAGATTATCAAATGCAAGAAATGCAAAGGATAGTGTCTAGCTTTCAAGCCATGGCTGGATTAAACAGACAACCACAATAATTGGATGCAGGTACATCATATTCTTTATTTTTATATCCAACTTGCTATTATATGTTTAAAATAGGGAAATTTTACAAGTTCGAATATATTTTCTAGAAAGCTTGTTGTTCACATAATTTTCATAATAAAACACCTTTTGGATTGAATTGGAGTCTATGTACGAAATTTAAGCTTGTTGTTCGCACCTTGTAGCCGAACCACTCCTAATCTAGCAACCATTACAATAGGGAAGACATTTCTAATGTAGGGATTGATGTATTACTTCTCTTTTCATTTTCTCTTTTTAGTAGGTACGGCAAAATCAGTAAGTACTTACAACCATAAGTCATAGTACAAGCATGTAGTTTAAGTGTTAATATTACACTTTGTGCAAGATGGGAACCTACAGTATTCCAGTAGCATGATTACATAGATGTACTGATGTACATATTAGAATTGATTGAGCAATTTCTACTTCAGATCCATACATCACCAATATTGAATATCTATTTGTCAAGAATAAAAATATATTCCGGTACAGAAAAAACAATAGCTAATAAATTATTTCTTCCAAAGGATGTAATAATGCCTGGATGCTAAAGGTTAGTTCATCATACAATGAAGGATATGTATCGCAACAAATCCTTTCGACCTACAACTAGAAAGTTTGCCAAATAGAGAGGTGTTAGTGAACACAAGTCGTATTTATTTTTCTTTGGCTCCTCCCCCTCATAAAAGATGTACTTCAGAGGCCCAGTGTATAAGACGGGTAGCATGAAATATATCAATTCCAGAGTAAGTAGCAACCATTCTAAACAACCTTCTTCGGTTCATGAAACTCTAATTATAGTACCCCTCACAAGATTTATTAATGTTGCACTCTAACAAGTTTGCAGACCCAGTGCTCAAATCATGATAAAGGAATAAGTAGCAAACAAGATCAATGGAACACTATTGTGCAATCTACTAACAGTGACATGGATATATTAGTCCCAGTCAACTCCATGAATGTAGTTATTATATCAAAACTTTTCATTTGTTTTTTTAAAATGAATCATCTAGTTGAACTCCATGAAAATGAGATAAATAGCTTTAGTCTCTAATGTCTACTATTTTGGCCAGGCACATGCATGATATGGATGGAGGTTGCAAGGCGATGAATGGTCGAGGGGACTCAAATTTGCTGCAATGGAGTGGTGGGAGAAGTCATCGGATTAAACATTATGAATGAACAAATTGTGAAATTGATAAGCTACGGCCTCATTGAACTTTATCGTTTGAATACTACTTAGTCATTGTTTATTTCTTTACTATCGTATGTCATTTGGATAATTTTTGTTTGTTAGATTTGTTATTGAGTCTTAGAAGTTTTACTGTGTAGAGTTGGGAACCTTATAAATTAATGGTCCAAATTAAAAATTTTGTGATTGTTCATCAATTTTTGGATTTGCTCGCACAGGTTGTATGAAACAGTTCTTAGTTCTTTTTTTAATTGATCAAAGTTACATTTTTTACAGTGGTAATGATTTGTTTCATTTGAATGATTGTGACGTTTGAAGTGGATGAAATAGCTGATGCAAAATATGTGAATATCAATGCTATGACTAATTAATAGAATAAGCTATAATATTTTTTGCTATTATATATTATTGATTTTTTTTTCAAATCTTATAGGAACGGTTGCTTTCCGTTGTTAATACAGTTTAGCAACGGTTGGAATTTAATGACGCGATTATTTTATTTTTTTATGAAATAAAAATTTAAACCTTATAGCAACGATTGCTTTCCGTTGGTAATACATTTTAGTAACGGTTGAGTTTTGCTGACGTGGATTTTTTAAATTTTTATAAAAAAACTCTAATAGAAACGGTTGCGAACTATTGCAACGGTTGTTGATCGTTGCTATAAGCTAATTGCAACGGCATTAGTAGCAACGGACCATTTGCAACGGTTTTAACCATTGCTAATGTATTAGAAACGGTTGAAACCGTTACAAATAGGCTTATTTGAAACGGTTCTAACCATTGCTAATAAGGCCTTTTGTAGTAGTGTTACTCACATGTTTTTGCCTTAGCTTTCATTTCATATATTCTATATGACTTTTTGATAGGGGGAGCAATCCCTATACTTGTTTTATACTCTCCTAAACTTATTGGTAGGGGGAGCTTTCGCTCTCTCCATTCTTTTGATTTCCTCTTTTTGATGTTTTTAAAGGGGGAGAAATATTGTGAGTATATATTTCCTAGTTTATATGCATGTGAATTATAATTTATATATTCATCTTCATTCATGCATATATCTTTTTTGTAAATTGTTTGTCATCATCAAAAAAAGGGAGATTGTTGGCCTTCTTGTTTTGATGATGATTTAACAAACAATTTATATTTAATATTGTTTGTCTAGTATTTGTGTTTTGTTATTTATTATAGATAAATAATATGTTGGAGGATGGATGGAATAGAGCTTCAACGATCATATCCAATGGAGGTGGGCGGAATTGTGAAGTGAAGCTACGTACATTCAAGTTAAAGATACAAGTTCAAGCTTCATTCGTAAGATTACCAAGTCAAGCTATTGAAGTTCAAGATCAAACTTGGGTAATTTAGTTTAGGAGTTTATATTATGTGTGTTAGTACCTTAAGCTCAATCATATACACACATACACGTTTTGGTTTTGTATATATATAGTTATATATATATATATATACATATATGTTTTGGTTTGATAGTTTTCAAGTTTTAATATGAAACAATCAAATATAATTAGAAAACATATTTTTGTTTCATACTTACAAGCATATATATGATTTCATCAATATCAAGTCTATTTAATTCAATAAAATCATGTTTTAGTGTATTATTTGTGTATTTTGATAAAATACTATATTCATTGTTTATAGACTTTATAACAATAGTTTACATCTTTCATTAAGTCTATAAAATCAGTTTACAAAGTTTCAAAACTTGGTTTATGTCAAAATATCAAAATTCAAGTATATCAAGTTTGCATGTTCTGGACATTTTTGTAAAATGACTAGTTTTCACAAATGAGAAGTGCAATTCCAAAAATTCTTTTTGTAACATGTTCATTAACATGTTTATAAACATTTCCCAAAGTTTCATAATTTTTGGAATTTATTTGATATTTTTAAACCCTGTTTATAGTTGGTTTTTACTGTGCAAAACAGATTGTGTGCATGTCACGAGTCGACTCATGAATAGTAACGAGTCGACTCATAAAGCCTTGCACAGTTGTCATTTGTTTCTGCTGAGTCGACCCATGCATGATGAGTCGACTCATGAACTTTATGAGTCGACCCATAAGTTGTTTTTAGGCTGTAACGGCTAGTTATGAGTTGACTCATGAACAGTGACGAGTTGACCCATAACACTGTAACGGCTATATTTGTACAGAATCAGATTTTTGATTCTTAGGCTTTTTGGTCTTTTCCTTTGGGGTTTTTGGCTGAGGTTTTGGGTGGCAATATAAACCCCCTTTGCTCTCATTTTTCAGATTAATCTAAGAGAATGTTTTAAACAAGTTTAACAAGGGTTGAAAGTTCGTTTTAGTTTGTTTAAAAGAGTGTTTAAGAGTTTTGTTTGTGAATAGAATTTCACAAGAGCAAGTGGAGATCATCCTTGGTGTTTGAGCATTCACTCTTCTCCCTCTCTCTTGTTATCTATATAGAAGTTTCCCTAAACTCAATCTAGCTTTACATATATATTGTTTAATTACCATTTTATTAAGCTAGTGTTTATATTAAGTTTAGTTGATTTTATTTACTCTTTATTTACACACACAACCATTGAGCTTATTATATTTGCATACATTGTATAATTGGGTTGTGGGATTGTGTGACTTAGAGTGTGAGCTTACATTGAGTTCTCACCTTGTATTCGAGAACAAACACTTTGTTATTGTGCCTAATTGTGTAGATCACTTTGTAATACACTTGTACACCGAGAGGAGTGTGTGGTGAGGACGGAGTTGATACCAAGAGGAGTGGCGTAGGTGGCAGGTGAGAGGTGATAATTCCGAGCACTTGAAGGAGTCGATACGTGAGGACCAACACTTGAGGTTGTAGCTTGTGTATGTACATTGTGAGGATTTGTGAGAGTTGTCGGTTGACTTAATAACCGAGTGTGTAGAGTTTTTGGTTAACTAGAAAACCGAGTGTGTAGAGAAGTTCCGGCTTCCAAACCGGGTTGTGTAGTGGATTCTCCTCGAGAGTGGGTAGCGGGGACATATGACGGAAGGTCCGAACCTCGTGAACATATAGCGTGTTTGGTTTGTATTGGCGCACTTATAACTGTTCATCTTATAGCCTAATACATCTTGTTTACATTGTCCACTAGTTTGTTTCACCCTTTTGATAGTTTAAATATATCCTTACATATATCATATAGTATATCTCATTGCTAGGATATATCACCTTAGTTATATTGCTTATTCTTGCTCATATCATATTGTATATCTATCTTGTAAGAAAAATTTATTAGTTAGTTTTAATTGGCATAAAATCGGATTAGATTAACATAAACCCTATTCACCCCCCACTAGGGTTCTTTCATAGCGACCTTATGGTCTGACAGC